TTTCGGTCCCAACTCCCAATTGCTGGTGGGTCTTCTTTGTTGGCGGTATTTTTGTCGGTTGAGCACGCCGTCAAGTTGTTTATTGGGTCTAAATGGTTCCAAGTGTTCGATCTCATCATTGAATGTGATTGTCGAACTCTTGTCGACTGGATTCTACAACCACAACTTGTTCCACCATATTGGGTCTCTAAGATTGGTCCGGTTGCTGCGATAATTGTTCGGGAAAAGTTTGTTGTTCAGCATGTCAGTAGGGAGTGTAACTGGTCGGCTGATCGCCTTGCCAAGTTAGCTTTAAAACTTTGATTCTTCGGGATTATGGGCTTTTGCGGATTTCTGTGGTTTCTATGCTGCTTTTCGGTTTTACTTCGGTTGTGTTAGCTAGAAAACCGGTGTTTGCTCAGATTTAGGGAAGGTGTTTGCTTTTGACTCTGCTTTACCCGTGACTTTTGGCCCTCTTTTTCCTATCATTCTCTTGATTATTTAAAGTCGCGGAAGACTGTCTGCCAGTATCAATGTCTGTTTTGTTGGATTAATGACTCTATATATATTTGTTTTATGTAGTGATTCAGTTAAAGTAGACTTCAAAGGCAGGCTTGGAACAAAGTAGGTTTTATAGTTAAGAAATGCTTGTATCTTTTTGCCATTCATCTCGGCTGGTGATTTGGGTGTTGCTAAGCCTATGTTTGGGTTGGTGTTAAGTAGGGAAAATAAAGAACAGTAAGGGAAACAATCATCCTTTTCTTTATTTGGATTTTTTGTTTATTTAAGCAAGAGGAAGGAAGAGAGGTCACGTACCCATAAACCAGAGATTGTATAAAACAATGGAGTAATAGATTCCAATTTCAAATGTTGAAGCCTCTCTTGGACAAATTACCTGACAACGATTATCCACTAGAGACTGGATTTGATGCATTATCTCGAGCAACATAACAATCTCTTCAATACAGAACGCATGCTTCAATAGCATTAGTTATCTTGCTAAAAAAAGTAGTTATATAATAGATTAAAAGATAGTCTCGTTAGTTAATTTTTTTAATTGGTGTTTTTATTGTAATAACTCAAAGAAGTGTTTTTGTATATATTGTAGATATAGATTAATTATGATTAAAGTGTATAAAGAGTACTCCAATTATAGGGTATTACTTTGTTAAGTCCACTAACTATTAGAAGTTATAAAATAGTCCCCTAATTATAGGACGTTGTTTTTTGTGTTCTCTGACTATTCATATATTCCAAACTCCTCAATTTTCGTTAAAAAATTTACGGTCGTTTGAGTTGGACGTTAACCTAATAGTTGAGATATAATAAAATCTTATTGTAATGATGTTTACTGGCATCGTAGTTGCTTTCAAGCAATGGTTCGACGACATAATATTTCAAGTATTTACTTGAAGTCATAATGTAAATGAAGATTCGATCCACAAAATGCAGCTCAAACAGTTTTGGGATCAATTTTTATTATATCATAGTCAACAAGTTAATGCACAACTCAACTACTGCCAATTTTTTAACAAAAAATTATGAGTTTAGAACATATGAATAGTTGAATGATCATTTTATAACTTTTAATAGTCGAGAACTCAACGAACCAATATCCTATAGTTAAAGTATCATTTTACAAATTTTAATAGTTAGGGATTTAACAAAATAACACCTTATAATCGGGGATCATTTGTGGACTTTACCCATTAACTATTTCTTTAAACATTTTAGAGTTAATACATAAATAAGTGCCCGAATTATGTCTCGAAAAATATTTTAGTACCTAAAGAATTTTTTGATAAAAATAGGTGCCTAACGTTTTCTTAGTTATATTTTTAGGTGGCTACTATATATATATATATATATATATATATATTAATTTTTTAATAATAAAAAAATTGTTTTTAATTAAAAAGTATAATTTATTTATAAAAAAACCTAAATTTTATTGGAATTATAAAAAACCCTAAAATCTCCCATTTCAACCCCATTACCAACCGTTGTCGGTCATCTCCGGCCACTATCGTCATCGTCGAATGGTCACCCACTCATTGATCAATTGTCATTCTTACCGTCCCTAAAAATCCCTAAATCTAAAATCTCGAATACTTAAATCCCTAGTTCTCAATTTCAATTTCTTAACCCCAACGATCGCCGGCCATATCTGGCCATCGTCGTCGTCGTCGAACGGTTGGGTTTTGATCAGAATAGCATGGTAATTCGAATGATGGTGGCGGTGTGGCTTATAGATATCATAATATGCCGGAATCGACGAAGAACAACTACATTAGCTTAAAATCTGACAAAACTTTGAACTCTTCTCCACGGCAAACAATAGCATATTACGACGAAAGATCAACGGGGATTCGATCGAAAGTCAACGTCAGTGATGATGATGGTGACAGTCGTCGTTGGTCGACCAACGACTTTTGGAAGGGGAAATGGGGAAGGGAGAAGGGGGAGGGGGCTGTTGCACGGGGGCTATGGTTTTCTTTTACAAAAAAATATTTTTTTTAATTTTTAAAAAAATTCTCAAAATTTAAAAAATGTGACACATATCACTTAACGGATATATTTAATGACGGTTAATTTTCAGACACTAAAATTATACCATTTAAAACATTAGACACTAATTTTTTTTTTAAAAAAAAATCTTTATATACTAAAATATTTTTTGAGCTACAGTTTCAACACATTTTTGTATTAAGTAAACGTTTTAAGAAACTAGGCATCAATACAGCGTGGCAGGCCCAAATCAAAACGCACGGGATTCTCTTCTATCCGCCACCTGTCGTATGATCATTGGACCACTCCATCTTTCTCTCATACTCTCTTCGTTACCATTTTCCTAGAAAAACAAAATAAATAAAAAAATCAGCCCTCTTGGCCTCTTCAGTCTCCACTCCCTATAATAAATTTATCCGCATTATCATTTCCACCAATAAATCAGAAGGAAAATTAAAGAAGGGGGAAAATATCGTCGATCGGTACGTTATTCTGGGTCAGCTTTTTATTGATAATTTTGGATTTTTTTACTTTACTTTGAGATCTATAGCGTTTTAAGTTTTCTTTATATTCATTTCTCTGATTTTGTTAATGGCTTTTTTGTTGATGCAATGAATGCTTTTACAGCTTTCTTTACTGGTTAATCTTAGTGGTTTGGATTCAATGTGTTTAGGATTTGGTATTTTCTTTGGTTGATTTGACTACTTAGGGTTTTTTTTTTCCTTTCTTTTTGTTGCGATCTGTTCGGTTTCTAGAAATTGGGTGAAAGTGAAACTGGAAATTTTTTTGCCAAGATTTAGAGTGGAAAAGTTTCTCTAACAAAAAACAACAGTTTAGATTCCGTGAAACTGTTGGAACGGAAAAGATAGGAGCTAGTGCTAATTAAATTTAGGACGTACCTTTTGGTATTTTTGATACAAATTAGATCGGATCTGTGATAATTTATGATACCGTTTTGATGCTTTAGGGTTGAAGGGTGAGAATGTATCGAATGATTGTTCTAGATATGGATGCTATTGTTTTGACCCTGGATTTGTTTAGAAACGTTTTTATAATCTTTCTGTTTTGCAGGATTAAGTGTTAGATTGATATTATAAAGATGTCCCCAACAGAATCATCCCGAGAGGAAAATGTTTACATGGCCAAGTTGGCTGAGCAGGCCGAACGTTATGAGGAAATGGTGGAGTTCATGGAGAAAGTTGCAAAGACGGTGGATGTTGAGGAACTGACGGTTGAGGAGCGGAACCTTCTCTCTGTGGCTTACAAAAATGTGATTGGAGCAAGGAGGGCTTCATGGAGGATCATCTCTTCCATTGAGCAGAAGGAAGAGAGCAGAGGAAATGAAGATCATGTTGCACAAATAAAGGAGTATAGGGGCAAGATTGAAGCTGAGCTCAGCAAGATCTGTGATGGGATTTTGAACCTTCTTAAATCTCACATAATCCCTTCGGCCTCATCCGCTGAGTCAAAGGTGTTTTACCTTAAGATGAAGGGTGATTATCACCGGTATCTTGCTGAGTTTAAGACTGGTGCTGAGAGGAAGGAAGCTGCCGAGAGCACTCTGTTGGCTTACAAGTCTGCTCAGGTGGGTGAATTGGTGCTGCTGTTTTGTCAATATTAGTTATTTTCTCTATAATTCCTGAGCATCTACTGAAAGGTTAAGATGGAATTTCTTAGCTTCTCTTTATTTTTGTTTATGATGGCAGGATATCGCTCTTGCTGAGCTTGCTCCTACTCATCCAATTAGGCTTGGCCTTGCTCTTAACTTCTCTGTTTTCTACTATGAAATCCTCAATTCACCTGATCGTGCCTGCAATCTTGCAAAACAGGTGTTTATTCTCTACTGCTTTGCTATTAATGTATTCTTTTATTATTTTTATTCACTTAGTTCAGTCATTGATCTGGAACAGCTAATAAACTAAACTCTGCAGGTTTTTAACTGTCTTGGTGTGGTTCATTGGTTTTGGATGGCATAGTAAATTGTTTTAATTTAATCCTACCCGAACTTGATTTAATTGTGATAGCAGCTCCTTGTATATAAGTTAGCTAGTTGAATGTTTGAGGAGCCAACCTGTTAACACTTAAAAGAATTAATGTGCCATTATTGAATTAAGTTTTCTGTGTTCTAGCTTAGACCAAGTCTGAACTGAAATGTTTGTGTTTGCTTTTATCTATATGAAGTCTGGTAATGTTGCAAATTGATATCCGTTTACTTGGATTTATTAGTTTAGTGTATTCAAGTTATGAGGATTAGATTGTTCTTATGTGAAGAGCCAAAAATGGCTTCTCAATGACATGAAGTGGTTGTCCAAAGGTTGCTTGTCAGCTAAAATGAATTTTTTTAATTGGCAGGCTTTTGATGAGGCTATTTCTGAGTTGGATACTTTGGGCGAGGAATCTTACAAGGATAGTACATTAATCATGCAACTTCTCCGGGACAATCTGACGCTTTGGACATCTGACATCACGGTATCTCACAACACACTGTTTCCCTTCCTTTTGTGTGTATATACAATCATGAAAATTTCGTGCAGCTCTGCTGTCTTTGGACATCGAATAAAAATCTCTTTAAATTGCCATGATTTTTTGCATCGACATGGATTTGAAAAATGTCAAAAGCTATGTTCTCGAGCAAACTGTTTTGCTTTCATCATCATGACTACAATTATCTACATTTCTAGGCATTACATTTTATAGATTAATGCCTGGACTAACATCCCTAAGTTTCAATTGATCTTCAAGATAATCCCTTGCTTCTTTAACCGTACTAAGAATGTTCTGCCACAGTATACATGCAAACACAATTTTTTGATAAAAATGGGAGGCCTCATTAAAAACCCCCTTCATACCCATCAAGCTACGAAGATAGCTTAACGGACATTGGAAAGAGGAAAAGAGTATCTCAAAATTTTATTCCTTAAATACTAAGTACATCAAGAGTTCATTACAGCCATGCACAACCAACATACAACCTCAAAAATGACCAACAATTTGCTGACATCTCATCAAACACCATATCCCTAACTTAGGAAGACTTGCCCCACACAGCAAAACAGTAGGTTGAACTACAAACAGTTACCCAATTCCCGACTTTACAAGCTTGTCAGTCTTCCAATTGCAACATCTCTGAAATATGCCTTACAATTACATTTTTATTCACCACCACGGCACAAATTTCCTTGACCAAAGATTCGAACAAAGCTGGGCAAGAACCAGGATTTTGATCCACTCCAAGGCCTTCAAACAGTCCGATTTCCAAATCAATCTTCCTTTAGATCCCCACTCCTCAAAGAAAAAATTTAATCTTGTTTTAATTGCAAGCAGTTCAGCCAAAATAGGAGGGCCAGTCTCCACCTTTTCTGAGAAAGATCCCAACAACTTACCATTCGAATCATGAATAAGACCACCAATACTAAGCCACTCCACTGTTCCATCAACATTAATCTTCAAAAAACCTGAGGGAGGAGGGGACCAAGCAGGTGAATAGGATATCACTTTCTTGGCTTTCCAATGAATATCTGCCAAAGATGGGTCACTCACTAAGCCATCAAACTGCATATTAGCACTAGGAAATTTTGCAACAAACCATGAAACCAATCTAAATCTAATGAGGAATGACAGTTGAACTGAATCAAAATAACCCTTCTTGAAAACTATTTCATTCCTACACTTCCACATCGACCACATAATCGCACCTGGTATTAACTTCCAAATGTGAGAGTAACAACCCAACTCCATCCAAGCCACTACTAAATCAGCAATATTACATGGAAGCACTGTTGTAACTTTCCAAAAACGCAGAAAAATACACCAAATGATGCGAAACAGTTTCAGGTTCGAGTAGACAAAGAGGGCACAAAACATCTTCCAAGCCTTCAACATCTCGTTTAGCAAGCTCCAATTTAACAGCCAACTTCTGATGAATTATTTGCCATACGAAGGTTTCCACTCTCGGGTGTGCCACCCTGTGCCAAACCTGCTTCGTCCAAACATAATTTATAGGCTGCCATTCGTACATTAGCCTAACACAAGACCTTACTGAATAAATGCCCTCCCCATTCCCCGACCATATGCATCCATCATTATTCTCCTCACCACAAGGAAGATTCTGAAGCAAAGAATTTAGGTTTACCCATTGCTCCACCTCCCAATCAGCAAGGTTCCTTCTCAAAGGAATGTTCCAACACCAACCCCAATGATTCCGTCATCTAAACTCAGCAATTGTTCCCTCCTTATTGACTGATAAAACAAACATTCTCGAAAATTGCACCTTAAGAGGGTAACCACCCAGCCAGTTATCAAGCCAGAACCTTAAAGATTCACCATTTCCAACCTGAAATTTTAAATGATTTTCAAATCACTGCCCAAACTCATCCTCCTCCTCACAATTATTCAGTACTCCTTTCCAAATCCTGGATGTCCTGTTAGTTGATGTAAATTCAATCCGAATAGCTCTCGGATCTACATTAAACTTGTTGCACACCAATCTTTTCCATCAAGTGTCCATTTCTGTCGCAAATTTCCAAGACCATTTCCCAAGGAGTGCTCGATCCAGAAGATTTAAATCTAAAATACCAAGTCCTAAATATTTAGGTTGACACACGGTTGACCAATTAACCCAATGGATCTTCTTCTTATCTTCCGAACCTCCCCACAGAAACTTGGCCATAATAGAATTTAGCTTCTTCAAAACATGGGCTGGTATTCTGAAAATGGACAGGAAATATATGGGCAAAGAACTGAGCACTGATTTGATTAAAACCACTCTCCCAGCTAAAGACAGAGATGCCGCTTTCCACCCAGATAATTTTTTGTAGAATCTTTGGACAACTGGCTCTCAAAGCGCTGCTGAATTCTTTTTCGCTTCAAGGGGAAGTCCAAGGTACTCAATTGGAAACTCCCCACAGAACATCCAAGTTCATCCATCCATTCCTTAATAGCGATCTCCTCCATATTAATTCAAACAATTCTTCTTTTCCCCAAATTCAGCTACAAACCCGACATTAACTCAAAAATACGTAGCACTCTACTAACATTCTTCAGCTGGCCCATAAACACAATTATCTTATCACATTAATTTCAGAACTAATATTCTGATCTGATGTTATTGTTGTTATCTCATGACTCCTGTTAATTGTTTTGTTTATTAATGTCGGATGTTCCTTTTCAAGTTGATGGATTTTCTCAAGTTCTATATTCAGTTGATTTCTTGTTTTGTGATCAATGTGTTTTGTTCCTTGGTTTTAGGATGAGGCTGGAGATGAGATCAAGGAAGCTTCGAAAGAGCCAGGCGAGGGACAGCAGTGATGAGATAAATTCATAAGAATTGTTCTCTGTACCTTATATCTGCAGGTATACAATACATGGATGCACTGTGGGTTGTCACAGAAGGTTTGGGTTTTATATTTTAAATGCATTCATCGTGGAGTCATAACGTTTCTCTGAATTATATATGTGCTGTATTTTTGAACAAGAAGAATTTGATTTGTTTTTCATGTGGTAGTGCTGAATTAGTGGGTTTGCCAATCTATACTTTTCTTTGAATTTTAGTTATTTGCTGTTGTAAGCTATTACCCATGTTTCTAACATTTGCTTGGTGACTTTTAATTCTTAGGATGCTGGAAAGAGTATTTTGAATATTTTATAAAATTAAGAATTATATTTAAACAGGATGGAAATTGATCTTAAATCAATGAAACATTTTAAAAAAATACACTCCATAATTGTGACCCACAAATCCATAGTTTGGAGATGTGTAGTGTAACTAACTCGAGAAAAAAAAATTATCATTATACATTTGAACAAATAACATGTAACTTCGTTTCTCTTAAAGATGCTTAGATTTAATAGAAAATTTATGTTCAAAATTAGTATCTATAAGAGATTTACAAAGTTGTTTCATCTTTAACATATTATGGAGGTTTAATATAAAAATAAGTGTCCAAATTATATCGTCAAAAGCGTTTTAGTGTTTAAAGAATTTTTTATTAAAAATAAGTATGTTTTAGGTGTATGGATGTTAATTGTTATTAAAAATCTTTGTTAAGTGACATGTGTCATATTTTGGTAATTTTTGAGAATTTATTTAAAAATTTTAAAAATATATTTTTGTTTAAAAAAAATCCCCTCCTAGGGTGTTGCAGTCCATCCCCCTTTCCCTTCTCCTTTCCCCTTACAAAAATTGTTGGTCGGTCAATGTTGACTCCCGATCAAACCTTCGATGGTCTTTCATAATAATGTGCTACTGTTTGTTGTGGAGAAACGTTTAAAGGTTCATCGGATTTTAAGCCATTGATGTCGTTCTTCTTAGATTTCGGCCGATTTCGATGTCCATAATTAACACCACCGATATCATTCAAACCACTGTGCTATTTTGATCAAGACTCAACCGTTCAATGATGACAAAGATGGTAGGAGATAGTCGGCAATCGTTGGTAATGGGTTGAAATGAAATATTTTAGTTTTTTAGGGTTTTTTTTATAATTTCAGTAAAAAGCTGTGGTTTTTTATAAATAAATTAAACTTTTTTTTCCTTTTTAATTAATAATAATTTTTTATTATTAAAAAATTTAAAAATGAATGATAGACATCTAAAATTATAATCGAAAAAACGTTATGCATTTATTTTAATGAAAGATTCTTTAGACACTAAGACATTTTTCAAGACATAATTTAGACAATTATTTTTATATTAAGTTTATTACGGAGGAGTCATAGTAGAAAGTACCCAAAAGCAAGAGCAGTAACTGCCCAAGAAATACAGCCGAAGAAGCTGAAGTAGCTAGACTGATGATATGTTCAAGCAAAGTGGTGGAAGAGGCCGGCTATCGCAGAGTTACACTGCCAATCAGACCAGATATCAACATAAAGATTGTTTCCCTAGTAAGGAGAGGCTTTGCGAATGGGTGTTAATGTTGGAAATGGTTTGTGTGTGATTCGTGGTTGTCAGTTGGAAAGCAGGGACCACCTCTTTTTTGAATGTGGCTTTGCTAAGGAGTTGTGGGAAGGCATCTTGGCTTCGTGTGGTCTTCACCGTAGGGCTAGCTTGTCGGGAGCATGAGCTTGCTTGGAGTCTTGTGCATTTGAAAGGTAAAACCCTTCTTACTATGATTCTTCGACTTGCTTGGAGTTGTCATATCTGTAGTGTGTGGGAGGAGAGAAATTGTAGACATTTTCGGGGTGCAGCTCGTTCGATGGATAGTGTGCTGCAAGGTATTAAGGAGTTGGTGCAGATTCGCATAGGGGATGGGGGATAGCTCATGATGCAGAATGCAAGCCTCTGTTTACGTTGGGGGATTGCTTTTATTAACTGACCAACCAGTTGGTCCCCGTATTTAGAATTGAGCAATAAAAATTGATGAATTGAAAATCGACACAATATAATTATCTTGTTGAGTTTAGGATTGATATTCACTGATTACAATGAAGTTATCAACACATGTAATTTGTTTTATATTTTATATACGTTTTATGGTCTGTATTCAAGATCTGTGTTTGTTTTAGTTAATAGTAGGGGTGTTCAAATTCGGGTATCCTAAATTTCTGGTATCCGAAATTTTTTGGTATTAAAATTTTGGCCCGTGACCCGGCCCATAATAATCGAGTACCCGCAAGTCAGATACCCATTAATTCGGGCTATAGAGTACCCGTTTTTTTTCTTTTCAAATTAAAATTATGCTATATGTACAAGCAGTTGTCCTGCCTTCTGCTATACATCAAAGACCAAACCAGATTTTGTAAGTAATACAAATGGCAAATTGACAAGTAAATTCTATCTAAATAGTAAAATACGTAAGCAGAAGACAGTAAGACATTAGCAAAAAACTTAAAATAGTCATTACTCATTTGTATCAAATTTTTTGTATTCTCTTGCCAAAGCATTTCGTATTTATGCATGTATACCTGGTGTTGGTTGAGTGATCGTCTGATCGGACGAGATGACAGAAGTAGAACGACAATGTGAGAGAAGCAATTGATGCGAGCGAATGAGAAATTAGGGATTGAAATTTACGATTGGGGTTGAGAATCGTTTGCATTTGAGATTTACTGAGTGACTTGACTGATTGTGTAGTTAAAAATAATATAAAAAGTAAAAAAAATAAAAAACGGATATCTGGTAATCGGATACCGGTTAAGATAAATTTTCTGACCGAACCCTACCCGAAAACCCGTAAAAAATATTGTGCCGGATACCCGACCTTAAAATTCGGGTATTTTCAAATTTAATGCCCGATTATTTTTAGTCGGGTCGGCGGGTAATCGGGTCGGGTATTTTTGAACATCCTATTATACTTTTAAATTTAAACTTGAATAATTTCCTATAGAGATATCTTAATACGTATTGATTTATATAAAAATGATAATGTTGTATGTATTAGAATTTTCTACTCGAGTATATTTTATACGTTAATAACCGTCCGGTACACGCTGCTGGGCCGAAAAATTAACGAGCCGGGTTTGAAGCCAAGGCCAACTAAATCTCTCAAATGGCCAATTGGATTTCCTTATTAGGGCACGGTAATATTTATTGAAAATTTGGATTCCCGGGAATTTCCTCTCTATTTACTGTAAAAAATAAAGTCTTACTTTCATCTCTCAAATAAAAACTTCCAATAAAAAACCCAACAAGAATTCGATCGGTTGAGACTTGAGAATTCGAGGGGGAAAAAGAAGAAAAGAAGAAGAAATGGCTGTTGTTTCAACTCCTCCTTCCAAAATCGAAGAAGTGAATCGAACTAAGGAAAGTGGAATTCGAACTTCTGAATCTGGAAATGGAAAAACTTGTCACCAGGTTTTTTTCTTCATATTCTTCTTTTTTAAGTTCTTTTTGTAATCGGTTCCTTGGAATTGTTTTTACTTTTTTTCCAGCGTATGTGAAATGGTCCGATCTTGTATATGCTGATTTTGTTCTGCTTACTTGATTGGGAGACTCATGTTTCTTTTCTTTTTCTTGATATATGGTATTTGAATTATTGAGATTTGTAGAACCGGCATGCTTTACTTTTTTCTAAGTTATTCCGTATAGTCATGTTCGTAAGATATTTGCAAAGTTTATCTTGATGCATCACGGAAAATGAAGGCTTGGATTGCATAAAACTATTAGATCACAATGGATACAGAACTTCGTTAATTTATTTGATGTATAATTCTCTGCTTTGAGCTTTTATTTTATTTTCCCAGATGTTTCTTTTACCTTGGGATCAAATTGCTGAAGTGCCGGCAAAAAAGAATTAATCTCTTGGCTCCATGCAAGAACGTGAAAAAGGACAAGCAATGTACCATCAAGTATTGTCAAAAATGTCTATTGAACAGGTTGTTGCTTTGCTCTAACATTTTATTTGTTGAGCAATTCATTTATTTGAATAAAGCAGTTAACTTGAAGTGTTTTTTTTATTTGGATTGGTATTTGATAGATATGGAGAGAAAGAAGATGTTGCATTGTTGGCTGACTGGAAATGTCCTAAGTGCAGAGGCATTTGCAATTGTAGCATGTGCATGTAAGCATACCGAACTGTGGATGTTACTATTGATAATTCTTGGTGTTAACTCTGACCAATTCTTAACTGGGTACTTGTTTTTAGGAAGAAAAAGGGTCACAATCCTACTGGTGTACTAGTATTCACTGCAAAGAAAACTGGGATTTCTTCTGTTTCAGAATTGCTTCAAGCTAAAGGACCTGAAAATTTTAAATATGAAAGGATTGTAAATGATATGGGTGTTTCAGCAAAGAAGCAAACAAAGGTTTGACCTTGTTTTTCTTCCTAATTGTAATAAACTATTGGTTTGTTCCTATTTTTGGGTGATGGGATTTGTCTTTTTGATGTTTACAGGAGTCTGTGGCTACTTCACTGAGGAAGCTTGGGAAGGAAAATTCTTTTGATGGAGACTGTGATTCAAAGGTTAGTTCTCAGAATTTGATTTCATCATTGCCTGAAGAAAAGATGTCTAAGAAAATGAAACGTGAGGGATTGAAAGAATTGTACAGCGACAATGGGGATCATGAAGCTTCTTTGAACAGAACTTGTTCAAAAAGCCTACAACCTTGAAGGAAGCTTCAAATAAAACAATGAAGGCAAGTAGTAGTCTTTCAGATGGAAAGGGGTTGAAGACAGAAATACAAATTGATGATGCTTCCAGTCCCAGCAAAGAACAAAAAACCAAATGTGCTAAAAGCAAGAAATCAGGAGTTTTAAATGGAGTTAAAGTTTTGGAGATCACTAAGAAAAGGAAGTCCACAACTTCTGATGAAAAGTCTGGGGAAAAACTGAAGTCAAAAGAAAATTCTGTGGGCGAGGAAAAGAATTTTAAGAGGCAGGTTCAAGAAAGCAACACCATAGCTCCCATTAAAGACAAAAAGTGTGGTGTAAAAAGTGAGGATTCTCGAGGTTCAAATGATTTTGAAAATGACAATACAATTTGTAAGCTCCAGTCAGTTTTAAAGCCTTGCAAAGATAGAAAACTTGACGTAGACATTCAATTGCCTGAGGGCACCAGCTTAATAACTGTTGCTGGTGTTGATTTACCTCCCAATGATGTCGGTCATGCATTACAGTTCTTAGAGTTTTGTGCAGCTTTTGGAGAGGTATGTAAGATAGGATGATACTATTTTTATTTTTAACATTCAACGCTAGATGCATTATTTTTTAAACCTTGCCTTTATCGTTAGTTGAGTAATATTGAACTATTTGATGGTGAAACCCTTGTTAGGTGAATTTTATTTCTGTAATGTTGATTTAAATTCGTAGGCTTTTGATATGTTTTATGCATCCTTAATCCTTTCATAGGACAAGACCCATAATAGGTGCTTTTGTTCTTTGTGTTGAAATTCTTTATTTTCTTACGTTGGAAAATACTTTTTTTTTCCTGAAAGAAACATTGGAAAATGTTTTTGATTGGAAATACTTATTGTTTAATTATCATGTCAAGTGTAATTTTTTGTTTTTTTTACCTGCCTAAGCTTTCTTAATTAGTATTTTTGGTTATTCTCTTGCTTGATATGTTATAGGTTCTTGATATGAAGAAAGGACAAGCAGAATCTGTAATCAGAGAAATAATACGTGGGCGTGGCAGATGCCGATTACAGTACTCTCCAGTAGTCCAAATCCATATACAATTGTTGTCTCTATTACAGAAAGATACGGGGAAGAAGTATAAATCATTGCCTCTAACTGCTGAATTATGCAGTCTTCATAATTGGCTTCTAGGTCACTAAAGTGAAAATTCTTATAGCCTTGCAAAGGACCAAATATAATTTGATTATCAGTACGAGTAAACTTCGAGTGTTGGGGCTTGGAGTTTCATTGCTGTGGATTACATTCATTTCTGATTAACTTTCCCTCGTATTTACTAGCCGGGATAACCGTATCTTATTGAAATTTCCTAGTTGGGGTATTTAATTATCAGCATGATATCATTAGTCAATAGTTGGAGTTTCATTGTTTTGTTTATTTATTTTTTTAAATGTAAGATAATTTTTAGAAGCATAAATAAAACATAAAGAGTTGATCTGTGGCAACAATTAATTGTTGAAAACAAAATTAAACATTACTTGAAACATCCCCAGAAAAGACAATTTGGGAACAGAGTAACAAGCCTCAATATAGGCTTGAAGGAAAGAACAAGAGACAAGGAAACCTTGAAATTCTAATTTAGACTCTAAAAGCAAATTTTAAATATGAAGGTTAAATTTTTTAATTTTTACGTTTGAGTTCAAGAGTACCTTTAAATATATTTTTTTTTCTTTCTAAAAATTATTGGTTTAGTGTTGTTTATGACTCAAACACTTTTAATAATTTTAACATTAAGTAACGGTGAAATGGTTAGTTTTTTTAAAGGATTGAATCTTGGAAGTTCTTAAATGAAATATGGTTTTAGTTTAAAATGGACTGAAACTTGAAAATAATTGTTTATAAATTATATTTTGCATCCAACGAGATTGATAATGGAATGTTACAACTTCATAATGAGTTGAAATGTATTTCGTATAAAGAATCGTACCCATAACTAGTACGATTGGAATATTGAATGCATGTGATTTCATCCCAGTGATGCTCATAGGAGGATTATTACCATTGGTCTGATATTGCTATGTTTTTCCCAGTTCCATTGAATAACTATAAATGGAATCAACTCTAGAGTAAGCATGCAATTTCAATGAAACTCCTGGAAACATTATGTTATGGGAAAATATAGAGATACGAGCTACCCCCGGGTGCTTGAGAAGAAGAAGGCCCCAAAAATGGTAAAATGGTAATATTTTGGAGGCAAGTGAATATAAAATGATGAGATTGTAAACACTGGGAACAGCAGGTAAATCATATATGAAGATGCAGTGTTTTCACCAGAATGTCATGTTTCAGGGTCTTCCTTCTTTGTTGTTTACTGCCTGTCTATCGTCTCCCTTCAATTTCATCACTCAATCTCTTTTACAACGTTGAATAGACTTGTCAAAAATTTCAAATTTCCTTGAAAAATCCCAGTTTAATTGATGGAACTATGCTGCTTCAACTATTACCCTTGTGCCTCAACAAATCTATAGGTGTATTAGTTTTAAGGCTTTAAAGGCTTTTTTCTGTTGAATTGTCTAACCTCTTCAAAGTTATTTAAGATCAATTCCGTCGTATCATTAAAAAATTCGTTAAAAATCAGTATTTTACATGTAATTTAACTTTTAATTTTTTAATTTTTGTTTTTTCGAAAAAAATAAGATTCATACATTTTTAAGAATCGAATGATTTAGGATTTAAAGTTTAGGCGACAAAGGGTTATCGATAGTAGAGATCTAACGATAGGGGGTTAGATGTTTGATGACGATTATAATGGTTGACTGCGATAAGGGATTTTGGGATTAAAAACTTGGGTATGAGGATTTAAGGATTGAAGGTTTATGAATATTTACATATTTAAGTTTAGGGATTTATATGATTGGGGTGACAACAAGAGAATGACCAACAATGGACGTTCGGGACGGTGGTGACCAGTTGTGCTAATAGGCTTTGGGACGAAGAATTATGGAGATTTAGGTATTTAAATTTAGGGATATATGGGGTTGAGGTGATGACAAGGGGATGATCGAGAATGGTGGTCAGAAAATGAGTGGACGGGCGTTTAATGACGACGTTGGTTGTTGACGACAACAATGAGTCTTGGGATTATGAATTTTAGTGTTTTTTTGTATTTTAGAGAAATTTAGTTTTCTTTTAAACAATAATAGTATTTAATTTTTAAATAAAATTTTAAAAACGCATAAATGTAACATATGTCATGTTTTGAGTGGCTGATAAATTTTTTTATGACCATGATTGATTTGATCTTAAAATGATAACTTTGAAAAATATTAGGTACTTGTTTTAATCCAATAATAATTTTAAACACTTAAATTTAACAAGAAGTATAGTCAGAGCACTTAATTTTTGATTAATCATAATTTTAATTTTACCATTTTTAGAAGAATTAAATCATAATTTCATCATCTAGTAGTACCAAATGTAATTTAACAATATATTAACTTAAAATTGTATGATTTACAGAAGGATCTAAGAATAGTTTTACCATTTTTAAGAGGACGATGGTGCATGGACGTGAACAGAGAGAGAGAGAGGGAGAGCTGGCAGCCATTGTTTATTTGTTTTATGGTATGCTATGAAGGACAAGAAACAAAACATAAACATCACAATCATCCACACTAACTACAACAAAACTCCCAAACCCCAAACAAACTGCCATTACACAGTTTCTGAGTCTAATCAATCTCTTCTTCACAAATGGAAACATAAAGAGAATCCCACACCCATTTTGTTATTTTTTTTAACCATCTTTAGCCGTCTCTAAACTCGGTCAAAACACAAGCTACTTTTCCTCTTCGATTTCTGCTTCCTTCTTTGTCTTATTCTCATCCATGATAAACACCCTCCATCTTGTTTAACTCCTTCTTTTGTTTCTTCATTCTCCCTTGTTTTCCCCTCTTCAACCTGCAATTCTTACATCAAATATCATACTCTGTTATATACATACATACATATATATATATATTATAAGATTGTTCACTTATGCAAAAAGAGATTTGCATTGGATATGATGATTTGGTCTGTTCTGCCATTGAAAAGACTGCGTTTGGTGGAAAAAATGCAGGCTTGTTGAGCCAAATCCAATTGGATCGCGTGTACTTATCAATCTTAAGAGGGACCAATAAAGATATTATTAGTTTTCCCTCACACTGTAAGGCCACACAATTCAATTATTTTCCTGCAGTAAAACAGGCTAGTTTCTAGACTTTAGGGACCAAATAATCTTTACAGTCCCCCACAGTGCAACAATGTCACTGTTCAGACAATCAAGCAATCTTGCAAACAGGCCGCATTAAGGTAAGGGGACATGTAAGACTAATCAAAACAGCTTTATGGAACACACGATTTGGATTGCTAGGAGAAGCAGAGTTTGCATGTATTACATGAAAATTTGCAAGCCTTTGAGCTAGCAGGGTGTGAATCGCTGCACTGGTTTTATGTTCTGTAATAATAAGTTAACTCTTTTGAAGAAATGGGTTTTTCTTTTTTTTTTCTTTTTGTCCTTTGATTTTAAAAGTTACCTCAAAAGGGGAAAATTGAAAATGAAAGTATAAGTCAACAGTCGGAAAAAAATGGTATGAGCATGTTAAAGCAAAAGCCTTAATTATGTTTCTTGGGGCAGAAAATAGAAACATACATTTTCATCAGCTTTCGATTTCGTGTTGGAATCGGTCGAGTCTCCGGTTTCCGTCCCGCGACTCTTCAATGCTCGGTCTAAGATCGAAGGGGTCGAAGCAGGGCTAAGGCTGTCCGAACTGAGATCAGGGGGTGTGCTTTGAGTTCCCACGTCTCGAGTCGAGCTCCCAGCCTTCTTTTCTGCACACTCGAAAACATCATTGGATGAATGAAAACAAAGCGTTTTCTTTTTTTAATTTCGGACACGGACCTGGAAACTGAAGTGTCCTGGAAGACTTGGTTGCAATATGACAGGATGAATGGGAGTAAACAAGAGGAGCAGACATGGTGATTCGGTTTGTAAAGTTCCGAAACGACCTTCCACTTAGTGTCTTTGCAGATAAACATTCCATTGGAACCTCCCCTGAAAGAGGGTTGCAAATGTATTTCTCTGCTTCGTTCCACTTGGAGTTCAGAGCAAACTCCTCTGGTGACAAACATTCCCAAGTATTGTACACTGTTCTTGCCTGCAGTGCTGCAAAAAATAAAACCCAACACAAGGGAAAAAAACACTTGAATTTGAACAGTTCAGAAATCAAACAACTATGGTGTCGACAATCACCTTTAAGAGCTGTTGTAAAAGAGTATGTTGAAGGGTCAATCTCATCTGTAAAAGAAAAAACAAACCATGGGAAAACATTTAGAACAAAACCGGACACAGAACCAGGCTATTGCATGGGAGAGGATTGTACCTTTCAAAGAATATCCAGGAGATGAAGCAGTGCTATAAATGTTTATATTTGATCTAAAAGACCTCGAATCCTCTCTGAAACTCCGGATATACGACCCCGAATATCGTCTCGAAGCGGTGTTTTCGTGGCTGATTCGAGCCTTGACGCTCCATTCCCGCAGACTGAACTCTGGTTCATCATACCTACAAGAAGATTGTTCCATGGCACATGCCATGAGAATGAGAGCAATGACCCTGAAGTGAAAGGCTTCTAAGAGTTGTGTAAATTTCAAAATCTGTGGCTGCCACTTCTGCAGATACCTCTGCTTGGAATCTTTTTTTTAGCAGACTTTCAAATGTGAAAAAGCTACCTTTTTTGTTGAACTCCAATTGAAAATTTAAAGGCTGCTTTCAAAGTGTCTTCTTCTTTTAACCATGCCCCCATATTTCATATTCATAAGCTAAAACAATTTTACTTGATTATATCCTTGTTGTACAAGTAAAAAGTGATAAAGCCGAAAGCAGTAGAAAAGAACATAACAACAACACAACCCAACAAAAGTGAAAATGGTACTCATCATAATCTCATGCCAACCCTACACTCCTATGTCATGTGGACACCAAATGATCAAGGGGTTACATTATTTGGATTCGAGGGTGAATCTAAGATATAAATATGTTAGTAAAAAATACTTCTGAAAAATAATATTGTTAGCATTGATAATAAAAAAATATTATGTTACAGAAAAACGTTAATGTCTTAGAACTAATTGTCTAGCATTATAGTGGACATTGTCCCTCAAGGTTAATATATCCTTCCAAACTTTGTACACATGAAGTGAGGAAATGAAATCGGAACACTGATTTTCACAAAGTGGAGCAGGCCGCCGTGTGTTTCCTTTTGTTGTATTGCTGAAAATAGGTAGGGCAGATAGACTTAATGTGCTGCAGTATGAATTGACATTACAATTAACATGGAATTTGATGTTGATTTAGCTCCAACTCGAGTTAAACTGCACTTTTCTGAAATACAGTATGTGTTCAACTTTAACCCAAAGACACCAGATAAACCCACATCATACCCCTTATTTTGATGGATGGATCATCAGAGATTTTCTGCATACATAAAGACTCGAACTCGAGACCTTACTTTAGCGATATAAAGTTGCTTACCACTTGAATCAACCCATGTTGGTTAGCTTTTTTATATATTTAAATACTTCTTAGATCTTTGTAAATTTTAAAATTAAATTGTGATCTCTAATTTCTAAATTTTAAATGGATGTCTTAATAATTAGACTCTGACATCCTATTCTATTATTATTATTATTCACCAGTAAAGTTTTTTTCCCAATAGTTCCTTTGATGACAAAAGCATAAGCAATTATTAAGTGAAGGGCATGAGAACATTTAATGAGATCTGTTACCAAGAAAACAGAGGGTTGTCAACCTCAACAACTCCAACTCCTCATATAATGCAATACCTAGTTGTGGTCCATGGAAGCAAAGGATATGGTGCCCGAAACAACTCTCATCAACAAGAATCACAGGCATGGACAACAGGACATCATGGGCCAATGGTTGGGGTCCCTCAAATTGGAACACTTGTGAAAGTTAGGTTCTTGTATTGGGTCTGATGGATGGATGGATGGACAACATGAATCATTCAAACTTCAAATGTTTAAAATGCCCTTAAATATCCTTTTCCCCTCCATTCATTCTGGGATCATTTCGCTCCATGTAATTAGGGTATGAATTAGAAGGTGAAAGATACAGGTATTATCAAGCCTGCTTCACACGGACAAGACAATAGCGGGATGTGTTGGGTTGTTTTCGAGTGGGCTGTTTGGAGAGAGGGGGAGGGCCGAGGAGTATGCATGTGCAATGACATGTGCTTGTCATCCTCATTAAAACAAAAGTTAAAATGAAAACTGGGAAGGCTTGTCGTGACCATCACTTTTGTCTGGTTTGTATGGATTTTCCTTGTTCTCATATGTAATAGGGTAAGAGAAGATAAGATAGTAGGTTACCCCAGCACCAGGTTGAGAGCAGTTTTCGTAAAAAACCTCCGAATTATGAAATGCCCTCCGTGGGACTCGATCCCACGATCTCAAGATTAAGAACCTTGTGCTCTACCAACTGAGCTGGATAGTCATCTCTTTGTATAGAATGTACGTTTCACTGAAAGGCCGAGGTTCTCACCCCCACACACCGTGTTGTTGGTGTTCTTTTCTCCATTTGCTTCATTTAATCTTTAAGAATAGATTTAAGGACGACAATAAATTTTATGTTATGAGTACGAATTTATAAAAATTTTAAGGTATCATAAACTTATAAATTTTAAGTGTTGAAAATAGATTTAAAAAAATACAAAAAAATCTAAAATATATACGAATTTTAAGATCTTAGGTAGCAGTCCATCGCTCGATGATTCACTGACAAGTTTTATCATTGATTAAAGATCAATCCATGATTAAGACTAAACCATGGTTAATATCTGGATTGAGATTGTGCATTCATGGTCCTGCACAGAGACGTAATTGAGCTTGAGTAGACGAGAGACTTATCCAGAACCCATCATCGATTAAGAAATTTAAATATAATTAAAATTATTATTCCTATAAGTCAATAATGACACAAGCGACAAGAAATCATGGACTTCAAATTTAATATCACATTTCAACTCAAGTTTTCTTCGTATTAATCTAAATTCAATCTTATATTATCGTACTTTTTTTATTTTATTTTCTTAACTTTTATTCCGAATCTTGATTTAATATCAACATTTGAAGTTTTTGAGTTTATCGAAGTTGATTGTTGTTCAATTGTTTATCAAATCCTTTTAACTATACCAAAGACAATTGTATTTGTTGAAAAAAGTTTTTTAAAATTTATATTGTTGAAAACTTACTGATCATCAATGTTATAAGAAGGATTGAATCGTTTAACAATTTTATGAATTGAGGAAAATATGTTTTACTATATTGACGTATATACTATTATTAGTGATTTTTTACTATTGAAATGCTCTTATAAATTGTTTTGTGTGAATAGTTAAATATTTAATAAAATTTCTTGATCTTTTTTATTTAAAATTTAATATGTTTAATAGATAATTTATTAAACAAAATAAAAAATATATAATTTATAAGAAAACTAATTTTTATTTATTTCTAAAATTCATTTTTAATCATTATTATTAGAGACTTAATTTTTAAGCTTTTGTGGTATGAAAGTTTCATATTTTAGTAAAATATTTTGTGTCCAAACTTTTCTAAATCTCAAGTGGGGGTTCAATTTTGAATGAATATTTTTTTGATCTATGGGTGACTATAAAATAATATATATTCAAAATACTCTTAATTTGGTTGACAATGAATGGTCAAACATTTCTGACTTACGAACTGTTTGAATTTATAATCTCAAAGAACTAAAATATTCATTTAACTACTGAGATGATTTGATTCGTGCGTTTTGATGAATAATTTGACCATGAGATAGGCTTATTTTCGGTAGCGATGAAATTGCACATTTATTGGGTACTAAGCTTGCTACAATTTTCTCATGAACTAACACACTTTTTTTTAATAACTATCGGTATCCGATTTATTAATAGACTAATTCGGATTAGTTACGGTAGAGATTATGATGAGCCTCCCAACCCAGTTTACTACAATTGTTAGGATTCAAACTCCTCATCTTATTTAAAAAATCTAGTACATCATCTCACCAGACTAACTGATTTTTGGTATGAACTAACACACTTTATAATATTATACAAAAATTTTAATTTAACATATTATACATATAATTTAAAAAAAATAAAAAAAAAATTAAAGGTTGACCAAAATGTTGTGTAAATTCGGTAATTATTGCAGGAGGAAAAGGAATACAAAATGGAACAGAAAAAGGAAACCCCGTGAGGCTGTAATATTGAAATAGTGTGGCGAAACAACAGGAGAGATCAAGCGCCGTCCCAATCCCATCATCTAATCAAACCGATCCCAAAGCCATACAGCCGTAAAGAGAAAATAAAAGGGAAAAAAGGAAATGAGGAACCCAATCTCAGTCTCAGAGCAAACATCCACAAGAAACGAGAAAGGAAACAAGACAACTCCTTGTTGCAGCAAGGTAGGGCTGAAAAGGGGGCCATGGACCCCCGAAGAAGACGATTTATTAACCGCTTACATCAAGAAAGAAGGAGAAGGCCGATGGCGGACTCTTCCAAAGCTGGCCGGACTCCTCCGCTGCGGAAAAAGCTGTCGCCTCCGTTGGATGAACTACCTCCGACCCTCCGTCAAGCGAGGTCAGATCACCCCCGACGAAGAGGATCTCATTCTTCGCCTTCACCGCCTTCTTGGCAATCGGTACATTTTCCTGCTCTACACATTTATTTTTAATGAATTTCACTTCTAGGGTTTCTTTCGGGATTCTCGAATCCTTTAGCAGAGCCAGTTTCCAAACATCATCATCATCATAGGGGTTATAGGTTTAGGGTTTCAGTATTTCGAGCTTTCAACTCGATTTTGTTCGAATCCAAATCTCCTGATTTATCAATTTACTGGGCAGATGGTCGCTTATAGCTGGAAGAATACCAGGGCGTACAGACAATGAGATTAAGAACTACTGGAACACACACCTGAGTAAAAAGTTGATCTGCCAAGGCATAGATCCAAGGACCCACAAGCCTTTAAACCCTAACCACTCACCAAGCCATCTCAAAGCTCCTTCATCCTCCAAAAATCATGTATCCGCTACTGGCACAATCCCTAACCCGGATATTAAGCATGCAGCACCTTCTTCCAGCGGAGATCAAATCACGGCTGCTGGCAAAGAAAATGAGTATTCCCAGAATCATAATCAAACTGATGACGCACTAACAGTCGATGGATTCACCGGTCTGCTCAATGGTGAAGGTTGTGGATTAGAAATGAGAAGCAGCAACAGCAACCAAAACCAAGGGATTATAACAAGCAACGAGGAAGATGATGAGGACATAAATTGCTGCAACGATGATGTCCTCTCTTCCTTTCTCAACTCATTGATAAACGAAGATGCTTTTGCCAACCAGAATCCCATGCTACAGCTGACCAATGGAGTTACACAAGCCGATCATGCATTGGTTCCAATCACACCATCAACTTTTCGCCTTGGCCAGGACTGTGATTTAAACCAAAATGACTCCGAGAGGGTTAATGATCGTCATCTCAACTAGCTCTCCCCAACCCTCAGCTTGCCTTGCACTATGAAAATCAATACAACTGCAGAAGATAAAGAAAATGTTATAGGGCTTGGTTATTATTTTATGTATGTTGATAGTCTATTATCGTTCCACTTAATTCCTCATCCTATGTGTGTTTTGTAATCAAAGATAAGTGGGAACAATGCACTGATTTGAACTTATGTCGACATTGTGTGTGATGTGTTTTTCATTTAGCTGATCAATATATTATTTAAGCTTATTTGATTAATCTTCCTTTGATTTCTCAACTTTTAGTTCCATCAATTATCTATAACGTTCACAATTCCCACTCTACGTATGGAAAGACTAACAACTCTAATTTTTACTATTTTTTGCGTTAAATTTGTCGATAGCTAACTCGATTATTTTTTCCAATACATTTTAGAACAGCTATATTGGTGGAACAATTAGTTATTCTAATAAAAGTACCAACGAAGCTAAAGAATCCTTAGTTTTTAGGTCAAACAATATCATGAAGAAAATTATTAACTTAGAAGCAAATAAAACATATACATTGCATACATATTGCAACCAGTGGAAGATTTAGAAATTAAAAATGGGATCCAAAATTTTAATGATCTATTATAAAAATTTTGATTATGCAAATTTTCTTATTTTTTTATTTTCATTAACAAATTAAACTAAATTTAAAATTTTTTTCAAAATAATGGGTGTGCAGTGGCTACCTAGGGAGCCACATACATCCACCCCTGATTGCAACATATCTATGCTTCTCATTATGTATACCTTAGTACCATTTTTATGAAGCACCTAAGGTTTTCACATGTATATATTAGTCTTTAACACGTGCATAACGATTCCTCAAATCACACACACATACATAATGTGGAGAAACTAATACAAAGTTTGCTAGCTAGATATCTATAATATACATGAGTAGTCTTTAACACATGCATAATGATTCCTCAAAAAAGAAAAAAAATACACACGCACATACACATACGTAATATGGAGGAAATAATACAAACTTTGCTTGATATCTGAAATATAAATGAAAAAGCTTTTTTATTTTATTGAAACAGTGTGCTAGAAAATTCTTGAAACTTAACCCTTTATCAACGTTTAGGAGATTTGCAGGAGTGGATGAAAACACTTGTAATCTTTTTCAAGGCAAGTTACATATTATTCAAATGAGAATGTTTTAACTCGAACTAATGAGATCGTGCAGGTCTCTCGAGGAAAACAAATTTCATGCACGTGTTTCAGAGATTAAGATAAAAAAAAAGTCATTTGCAATTGTCTTCGTCACCAGCTGTATGCATGGGTTCCACATCATTCAAATTTTTATGGTTTTGGATATATAGACTGTTAAAGAAAAGGAATTGAGTTGCTACAAAGATAAGGAATTGAGTTATGGTTTCAGAGAATGATGTACTTGTACATGAAAATAAATCGGTAATAATAATAAATCATTTGAATGCGCATAAAAGCAAAACAGCAAAGGAAGTAGAAGATGGGTAAATAAATAGTGAATACCGATCTGCATGCTGAGGACTGAAAGAGAAGAGAAGCAATGTTCATCCCTACAGTAATGCCTCGCCTTCTCACTCCTCCGTGCTCAGTGTAGTATTTGATTTATTGTTGCTGCTTCACATTTATTCAAAAACAATATATTATTAACATATTTTAAGTTAATCTCTATCCATAATAACACGATTTTATGGAAAATGAGAAATGGCTAAAACTTTAAAGTAAAACATACTTTAATAATAGAAATAATTGTATGGGAGGTCCCCAAATTATGACCCTCGCTTTAAATTAGTATTTAAACTTTAAAATATTTCATATCAATCTTCAAACTATGACACTTATTCTAAATTAGTCCATAATATTAAAAAATTCTATGTCAGTCCTTAAACTATAAATATCATTCCATTTTGATCCGTATGTTAACGTGTCATTAACTCTACTAATTAAAAAAATATTTTATTTTTTAAGGTCTTGAAAATTGAACTCATGATCTTCTAACAGATTCTCAAACCTTAAAAAATATATTAATTTTTTCATGTCACGTGTTCAATTCTTTTTACCTTCAAAAAGAGATTGATTTTTTAATCAATAGAGTTAACGACACGTTTAACATAAGAATAAAAATAGTATGATACTAATAGTTTAAGGACTGATATAAAATATTTTAAAGTTTAGGAACCAATTTAAAATGAGTGTCATAGTTTGGGATTGATATATAATATTTTAAATTTTAAATGTTAAATACCAATTTGAACAAGAATCATAGTTTGGGGGACCTCTTGTGTAGTTAGCTCCTAATAATATTGAGAAGTGAAGTAGAGCTGGGCATATAATAAGGCTTCAACTTTGAAGATCTCAACTCATAGGTGGGCTTTTGCTTCATTCCCTACTTTCTTCACAACAAACAACCCAGTCCAAAGTGCTTTCTATTTGGGGTTTATTTTATTTGTAAAATAAAAAATAAAAGCTTTTGTTTTTGTGAGGGTTAAAATATGTATTATTGCATTAATCTACAAATGTATAGTTTTTGTATCTATATACTCAGTACAGATATAATAAATCAGTACATATATAATTTTTGTGAGGGTTAAAATATATACGTTGATAACCATTCAAATGAAGTATTTAATCTTTGTATCTATATCCTCAGTACATATATAATAAGTCAGTACAACACATATTAATCCCTCCCAATTAAGCACTAGTAAACATAAATATAGACAAGAGTAAAAGTAGGAAATTTCATATCCAGATCATAATTAAATTATAAATTTTTGTGAGGGTTAAATTATGTATTATTGCATTAATTTACAAATTTATAAACTTTGAGGGATCACATTACAAAGTTTGACCATTTTGAGGGTTAACAAGAAATTAATTTGCTTATATTATTTAGCCTAGTGCAGTTATACACCCAACCCCTCTGGGTCATCTACCAGTCTTGATTTCCTTGAAAACCCTCTTTAGATTGGTAGCTGATTGACTCGCCCGTTCCCGAATTATTACTTCTCCCAATTCAACCTCCTTTCATTGAACCATTATTATATTTCTATTAATCTAGGACCGTCCTAAGGTAGTTTAGTTCGTGCATTCAAACATTGTTTCAAAAACTAATTATCGATAAAATATTATTTTAAATATTTTTAAAATTTTAAATTTAAATAAATAATTCGACTTTTAAACCGAAACAATTCAAGCTAAAACGCAACACAACTCTGTTTTGCATCAATATAGTAATGCGCATGACAAAAAGAAACACGGAGCCAAACAAAATTCAGCATCCAAGTACAAATGATTCTACCATGATTGTTCTGCCAAATAAACAACGACAAAAAGGCTCATGATTATAAAACAAATGAAAGGAAAACGAACGAGTGACCTGAAATCTTCGATGCAACGGAAGAGTCGTCGAAGCCACGCCCTGCTTCTCAGGGCCGAATACATTGGTATGTAAGCTATTTCACGAGGCGATATTTTCCGGAAAGGTGAAGTTAAAAAGGAGGAGGAGAATGTGTAGCATTAGAGGTTTGAAGAAAGAAGGGAGTTCGTTAAGGGTGCAACATTGTATAGGGGAATTGGAGTGAATGGTAGATTTTGATAAAACCGGACCAACCAAACGTTCTTGCCGTCAAAACCAGAACTAAATAAAAACGTTAGCCTGACCAACCTGTCTTTCTTTTTTAGAATTTTCTTCACTTCGGTTGCTATATATTCTACATTCAAATTCATCATCATTAATTACTCGACTTCAAATGACAACAGTCTTAGCGAATGAATAGCTCAAGGGAAAGAGAATATATTAATGGAGAGTTTTTAACCACTTGTTTTACGTACTGTTAACGCGAATGAACGAATTTAAAAACGAAGATTATGAGCCAATCTCTCTCTTTTGACCTTTCTCCTCGTGGACACTCCATCTTCACTGCTTCTATGTTTCCTCTTCGTATCTTCCATCCTTCGTCCTTCTCCCTAGAAGCTCCATATATTCAAGCTCATTCAGTCATGTTTATTTCTACAAAAGAGAATAAAATTTTAATGTAAAAATTATCAACTGTCGCTAAACAGTGAATTCAAATAAATGAAATTTTATATATCCACATTTTCACATAAGTTTAAAAGTTAACAACTGTCGTATATGTATGGAGCTAGATAATTAGTCATTTATTCTATGATATTTTTAAATAAAATTAATTATCAAGTACAATTATATAACATTTTTATATTTAAATTTAAATATTAATTAAAATTTGATTCAATATATGAATATGTTATCTACTTTAAAATAAAATTTAAGCATGATTCGATGTTATTTACTTCCACGAAACCTAAACTCATCTTCTTATATCCTAGAACCTAAATTAATCTCAAACACTCTTTCAATGTCGATATAGAACTCACCTTCATAATATAGTCTTCAATAATTGTAAAAATCACAAAAAAAATTATATTTCTTTAAAATAATTTTATCTCATAATTCATAATTTTATAAGTTAAAGACCTATTATTTATGCATTAAACAAATATGGCCATCAAAACTCTTATTCTATAATAATTCTTATCTAAATACACTTAATCATCGAATAATCTGCTACCATTATAATTATAATAAAATTCAACTTAATTATATATTGGAATTTGAGTCAAGATTAAACACATTTGAATGGTTGGCCAAGGTGTTCTTTTTTGTTATCTCGTATTCCTTGTTATGTGTTCTAGACTCACTAAGAGTATTCTCATTTCTTTTCTTAGAGTTCACTTTATTCTGAATAGATTTAGAATTTATTAAAAGAAAAAAGAATTTGAGTTAATATAACAATAATAATAATTTATTTATGATAAAATAAAAACCTTGGAGACGTGGTATTTGAATTTTGAAAGCAATGAAAAATAAAAGAGATGGAGGTAGGAGAAGTTGAGGGTAGGCGAATACAAGCAAAGAGAAGGAAAGGTGAGTCTTAGGGCTTGGTTAGAAGAAGTTAGGTAGTTGGAGTTGACCGCCGAGTGTGTAGAGGGAGTATAGTATTTGTGAGCGTTGACAACTCAGAAACAAGGGTGACCAACACCCATTTATTTGCTTAATATTCACAGGGCAAAGATGACAAGAAAGATTTTTATACATATGATACACTAGACCTTTACTTGCCTTTGCCACAGGACTAGTGTTGGGATTTTCGGAAGCTCAAATCGACAACCGGAACGGTTTGCAAAGAGGGGTCGGAACGGTTTAGGGAATATCAA